CACCAGGAGTTTGAACAAGGAAAATTTAATGTGAAGAATTATTAACTAATAAAGATGTTTTAACTGCTAAACAGATAAAATAGTAAATAAGCATCAACTACTACTCTAGAGCTGAGTGGAGAACGCAGGAAAGGAACAAACTTGAAAGAGGGCACCGCTACCCAAGATTTTGACTCATATCTTTGAGAGATTATATTTGCTGCCATAGGACTCAGCCATGGCCAAGCTGATCCTGCTAGGTGCCACAGGTCTGAACTGGTGTTTGGAAAATCTACTGGCGTTCTGTGGGCCAGGCTTACGGATGATGGGCTCCCAGATGCTGTCCAGTGGGATGCTCTGGGTCAGAGCTGATGGACAGAAAGCTACCAGCTGGTGTAAACTGGAGAAACTTCCTAGATATAGCAGAGAAACTTGCTGGAGGGTGATCATTTATGGGTCTCTCACATCCTTTCTAGCTGCCACGCCATAGGGGCAAGAAGAGTGCACCCCAATCTGAAAGATGAGGGACATTCCTCTGCCAAGCCTACAGTGTCCCTCTACTACCCTCTATTAACAAAGTCTAAGGTTGCACCAGCTGGCAAATGTCCATATGTATTAGAAAGAAGAGTGGATTTGGAGCTGAGAGGCCACAAATTGATAACTGGCATTATGTGAAAAGCTGTTATATATAGATAAGAAAATTGTGAGTAGTCTAATTGAAAAAATAGCAGTGTGTGTGTATAGATAATTCAGAAAAGAATAAATACAAATGTCTGATATGTATTTGTTTTTTTAATTATATTTTATTGATTATGCTACTACAATTGTCCTGATTTTTCCCCTGTTGACCCCCTCCACCTAGCACCCCTCACTGCATCAGGCAATCCTTCCACCATTGTTCATGTTGATGGGTCCTGTATATAGTTCTTTGGCTACTCCCTTTCCTATCCTGTGCTTTACATCCCCATGGCTATTCTGTAAGTACCTATTTGTACTTCTTAATCCCCTCCCCTCTTCACCCATTTCCCTATAACCTCCTCCCAAGTAGCAAACATCAAAATGTTGTCCATATCAATGATTCTGTCTCTGTTCTTGTTTGCCTAGTTTATTTTTTAGATTCAATTGTTGATAGATAGGTATTTTTTGCCATTTTATTGTTCATAGCTTTGATCTTTTTCTTAAATAAGTTCCTTTACCATTTCATATTATAATGATTTGGTGATGATGAACTGTCTTAGTTTTTCTCGTCTGGGAAGCTCTTTATTTGCCCTTTGATTCTAAATGATAGCTTTTGGGGGAAGAGCAGTCTTGACTGTAGTTCCCTGCTTTTTATGACTGTGCATATTTCTTGCCAATTTCTTTTAGCCTGCAAAGTTTCTTTTGAGAAATGAACTGACAGTCTTATAGGAACTCCCCTGTATGTAACTAACTGCTTTTCTCTTGCTGCTTTTTAAGATTCTCACTTTATCTTTAACTTTTGTCATGTTCATTATGACGTGTCTTAGAGTGGGCCTCTTAGCATCCATCTTGTTTGGGACATTCCGTGCTTTCTGGGCTTGCATGTCTATTTCCTTCACCAATTAGGAAAGTTTTCTTTCATTATTTTTCAAATAGGTTTCTAATTTCTTGCTCTTTGTCTTTTCCTTCTGGCACCCCCATGATGCAGATGTTGGACCTCTTGAAGTTGTCCCAGAGGCTGCTTATACTATCCTCATTTTTTTGGATTCTTTTTCTTCTTGTTCTGATTAGTTGTTTTTTGCTTCCTTATGGTCCAAATCATTGGTTTGATTCTTGTCTTCATCCACTCTACTGTTGTTTCCCTGTTAATTGTTCTTTATTTCAGTTAGTGTTTCCTTCATTTGTGACTGGATATTTTTATACTGCTGAGTTCTTCAGTAAGTTTCTTGAGCATCCTTATAACCAGTGTTGAACTCTGCATTTGATAGATTGCTTATCTCCATTTTATTTTAGCTCCTTTTTGGAGTTTTGATCTGTTCTTTCATTTGGACCATGTTTCTCTGTCTTCTTGTTTTGGCAACCATCCTGTGTTTATTTCTGTGTATTAGATAAAGCTGCTTTGACAATGTGTCTTGGTAGCATGGCCTAATATAGTAGGTGTCCTGTAAGGTCCACTTGCACAGCCTCCCCTACACCCAAGCTGGGTACCCCAGGTGTGCCCTACTATGTGGGCTGAGTACGCCCTCCTCTTATAGCTGATCCTTGGTTGCTCTTGGCAAAGCAATAGGAGGGATTTACCCAAGCCAGTCAGTTGCAAGGATTGGCCGTGACCACTGACCACCAGCCTGTGCCCTGTGTGGAAGATCAGCTGTGCAGTGGCAGTGGTACTCCAGCGTGGTCTGTTGCTGTCCACTGGTTGTGTTTTCCCTGGAGTTTCTCAGATGGTGCAGCCCAGGGTCAGCTGCCACCTGTGTTTTGCCTGGGGCCACCCTGCCTGAGCTATAAAGCAATCTGAGATGGCTGCTATTTGTGCTGGGCTTGGAGATTTCCAAGTGAAGCCAAGCTGTGATTCTAGTCTGGCGGCTGCTGCTGCTAGTGGTGGGCCTGGGGCTCACTGGGGTGTTCAGTTGCTTGTTTGAGAGGATTTAGAAAGTTGTGCAGCATGAGCCAAGACCAGCTATTCATGTGGAAAAGCAGCTTGGGTGGGCTCATAATTTGGGTGGGACAGAGCCTCTGGGGACCTCCAATATGGGTCAAACAGTGTTAGCCATGTCCATGGAGTCTCAGATATTGCACCATTTTGCTGGCTTTATTGGGGTAGGGGTTTATAAAAGGGACAATGGCCTCTGCTACCTTAGTGCCAGACACTTCAGTTTTTCCCTGTATACCACTGGTGCCTTTCAAGCTGCTACCCCATTGCTGGAGGTCATAAGGAGTGAGTCTGCACAGGTGAGTATGTGTGTCAGTTCTTTAAGAGGAACTGCTTTGGGCTCCAACAGTTTCTTTCACTCAGTCTCTGCCGGATTTTGCAGCCAGAAGCTGTGGGGACTTACCTTCCTGGACTGGAACCCTGGGCTGGGGGGGTCTAGTGCTGGACTGGGACTCCTCACTCCCAAGATATCCCTCCCTAATTTTTATCCAGCACATGTGGATGTGGGACCAGCCCATTCTGGGTCCGCACCCCTCCTACCATTCTGGATGCCATGTGGTTTATTTAATTCTGTAGTCATCAGACTTTCATTCAGCTCTGTTGCTGACAGTTCTGAGTGATGGTTTTTCTATATTTTAGTTGTGATTTTGATGTGGTTACACAAAGAGATGAGCCATGTCTGCCTATGCTGCCATCTTGACTGGAAGTCCACTAATACATATTTGAAAGGATAATCAAATACACTATTAATAGATCTCCCTGATTTCATCTAGTCCTACAGACTTATGTTTTCTTAATTTTCTATCACTCTGAGTGTATATTGCTTTTAAGAGCAGATGTTCTTATAGGAAGGATAAATGATAATGGAAAAAATATCATAAAAATGTAAAAAAAGAAAGATCAGACATTTCTTCCAGCTTGGCTCCTGCAGCTCACCTGATGTTCTACTTGGTCTCTATACTCTTACTCTTCATTTACCCAAATTATGAAGCTAATCTAGACTTTTCCTGAGGACCTGCTCTACTCTAGCTAGTGTAATAGGCAAGAAAGTGAAAAAAGAGGTAAGCAGATTGAAAAGGAAGACATAAAACTACCTCTCTTTTATATTATAAAACATATAATTATCTGTAAATATATGTTGTATGTAGGCAATCCCAAAATTGTCTATAGAAAAGTTACTAGAACTAATGAATGACTTTAGCATGACTACAGAATAAAAGGCCAATATACATAAATCACTTTCACTTCTACATACCAGCAGTGATCAGTTGGAAATAAAATATTTTTTAAAGTCCCACGTAACAGTAGTAACAAAAAATTTAAAAATCTTTGGTATATACCTAACAAAGTATGAACAAGATTTATATGTTGAAATCTGTAAAACATTAATGAGAGAAAAAAAACAAAAATCTAAATAAATGGATAGAGAATAGTCATGAAAAGAAAGACTCAAGATTGTCATGATGTCAAGTTGCCAGAAACTCAACACAATCCCAATTAAAATTCTACAGGCTGAGCACGTTTTAGCTCAATTATGCGGGGGGTGGTGGCGGGGGAGAGCTGCTCTTTTTGTCATCACTTTTTCTTTATTAATATAAACTAGCCTACAGTGGAGCTTGCTGCTTTGTGATATAGGAGTTCCTTGGCAGGGATGTTGTGTAGGAAATTACAGCATTACGTGGTAAGTTGGACTAGATGATCTGCTTTTACCTGTCAAGTGGAAATCTTAGTGAATCTGTTTTTCGTAAGTCAGTGATTACAACTTCGGGGCAAGGCAAAAGGGAGCTGCTGGAATATTCAGTCTTTTTCAAAAACATTGAACATTCCCCAAAGATCCTGTCATTCTTCCTCCCAACCTTTAAGAACCATTTCGTGTAATGAGAGATATTACTAATAGGAGTGTGTTGTGTGAATGAACTATTTTAAGACCTCTAATTGGCACATTTGTATTACCTTCTTTGGCGGGGGGGGGGGGGCGGGGGGGGGGGGGGGTTACTCAACAGGTTGACTGAAAAGGAAGATAATGTCAGTTTTCTCAACTCTTCTTGGATTTTAATTATGGCTTCTCCAAAATGGTATAAATCATAGGGAAATAGTCTATAATACTCATTTTTCGCTTAGAATACTCTTTATCAATTTTTTCATTGTAATCAACTTACTAAATATTTCTCTACAAGGAAACTCAGAAATTATAATTTCTTCAAGTTAATTATACCAGAATATCAATTTTTAAAGATACTCTGTTGGTAATGTACATTTAAAATACATATTTGTTATGTTTTTATAAAAATATGTGAAAGCTTCAATAAGTAAAAATGCAGTGAATTCTGTGATTTTTAAAAAATTGTTTGAAATATGAACAGCTACCCATTTTTATTTTCATTAATATCTTAATTTCCTTTGTATTTTAAAGCCCAACCTGAATTCCTGAAGCAGCCTACTAATATATATGCTCATGAATCTATGGATATTGTATTTGAATGTGAAGTGACTGGGAAACCAACTCCAACTGTGAAGTGGGTCAAGAATGGGGATATGGTTATCCCAAGTGATTACTTTAAAATTGTAGTAAGTACTTTTTAAAAGAATGACATTTATCTCTGAAACCTTTAAATGTTTTTGAATGTAATCATCAAGAGATCTGTTATCTTATATACACCGGTTTATGTAACACGGACAAAGATAGAAAAATTCAAATAGAATGTAATTTCTTCATTGGACAATGAGAAAGCTGAGCCCAGAAATATTTTGGTAGCTTATAAGATCAACCTAACATTTGCATCTCCTGACCCCATTACTAGTACTACGTCCAGTATTCCTACCTAAACATACTGGTACTCTTAAACACAGCTGTCACCACTTTCTGGATGATGATTATCGTGTGTGTGCACACATACATGCTTGAATTAATTGTATTTATAGCTCTCTATTCAAGGAACAGAAATCCGTCCTTCATATACTGATGCTCAGGCCCTTCAAAATAAGTATGACCAGTGTTGGACAATTGTTGTGACAATAGATATGAAGATTCTTTTAAAAAGTAAATAGTGTTAAATGTATTTAAGAATATTCAGCCATTATTGCTTTTTGCTTTATATTAAGTAAATGCTTAGGGAATATTACCTGTTATTACTGTCATTATCTAACATACTAGTAAGTAAATTATCTAAGTTCTAGTAACAGGTTAATGACATATCCTGAGATACTTGAATTCATGGTAATAATCATAATTCATAGTAATTATAGTTGTTAAAGACTTATTCCCATTACAAATTTCTCATATAAGTAGGGTTATATTTTCAGTTTTTTGAAATGTACACTCATAAGTTACAGAAAGTAATCCACAATTACTTAATTGTAACTAAATATCAATGTATTATATATAGTTTAATTAGCAGTTTTATTCTTTTATCATTATTTTCATACTATTTTTAAAAATCTTAATATTATACTATATCATTAACAGTAACAATAGTTTGACATCCATATAGTACTTTATAGTTTAAGGAAAGCTTGTTTATATGCAACTTGATTTAACATATTGTAGTCTGATTTATCAGAACTGATATAAGAAATAATGTTAAAATATGTTCTGAACTCACAAATTCAGACCTTCACTAAGGTTACATGCTTTTGCATGCCAGATATTTTTCCAGGCAAAGATTTATGTTTGCAAATATTCTGAGTATGACTTTCCACAAGTAGTAAGTTCTTAATTGTTAACGGTGGCATTTCCTGTTTTAATGAGTTTAAGTCAGTACCTTGTCAATAAAATTGAGTTAACAAGTGCATAGGTAGATAATATTCAGTAACTGAATCATATGATTTTACTTGTTTTTCCTTCCCAGAAAGGTCATATTCTTGAGATTTTGAACTAATGTTTACCAGTTGAATCACAAAATTATATTTATGTTTTTCTTCTTCAGAAGGAACATAATCTTCAAGTTTTGGGTCTGGTGAAATCAGATGAGGGGTTCTATCAGTGCATTGCTGAGAACGATGTTGGAAATGCACAAGCTGGAGCCCAGCTGATCATCCTTGAACATGGTAAGAGGGACTGAAATAGAGGGAGAGGCAGACTGTGTGTTCGAAGAGCTAATATCTATCACATGTCACTTCAGAATATCTCATGATTAACCTGTTTGTAAGGGGCAACATTGAGGCATAGCCAAGAGGAAAAAAAGGATCTAAATCATTTCTATTGTTTAAAATGACCTAAAAACAATTTAAGCTAATGTTGAAAAGAAATTACTGTTAAAAACTGAATAGTGTTACAAAAGTGTTCTTCAGAGTTCAATCATTTTAATCTCACAAATATATTTCTGCTCTATTAATATAGAGTAACTTAAAGTAGTCTTTATTTTGCACTGAATGTTTCTTCAATTTTTCCAAAATAAATTTAACTTGCCTTTTGTGATTACCAGAAAAATAAATACTTACTGTGAATTCAGACAACATTGAAAAGTAAAAAGGGGGGTGAGGGAGACCACAGAGAAGTTTCAGTAAAAAGTAAAGAATTAAATATTCTTTAATATACACAAATTATTAACTATAATAGGTAATTGGAGTAACAAGGCTTTGGCTAGAAAGAAGTGAACTCTTAACAAACATAAGAATGGCAGGTAGAAGCAGCAGCCACTATCCTTGGGCCTGAGAGGGAGAGTTCAGGAAGACACCTTCCTCAGGGCTGAGATTTACATTATGTTGGAGAGGGCGTGGCCATCGTTTACTGGGTGACAGAGAAGTTGCTGTGCTGCCATGCTGTGGAAACTTGCTCAAAACCTGCTGTCTAGTGTGCTGGCGAAAAGCTGTTCACAGGTGCCTCACTGAAGGCATTGTGCTACAAAACCACCTGAAGGTTAGGGTGTTGGTGGACGCTGCTCTCCAGCACCTGGAATAATAAAGTGTACCATGTGTGTCAGCTGACAAAGGAAAAACATATAAAGGGCCAGCTTCATTTTTGCAGAGCAGGGCAATACAGTATGAATTTGAGGCTGAGAGACAGTAAACTGCTAACTGGCACATGATCCAAATCCTGCCGCCTAGGAGTACTATGGGTGAGTAGCACACACAGGTATATCTGAATTATAGTCTGTTTTTCTGCAACAGCATGTTATGGCATCTTTCCATGTAAGTGGAGAACTGCAGCAACAGTTTTCATTGCTGAATAGTGTATATGTTCACTTTGTTTTATATAAATGATTCCTGATGATTAACATTTAAGCTGTTTTCCTATTTTTAACTATTATGAACAGTTCCATATTGAATTTCTTTATATGATTTTCTCATACTAAATTACTAGGAGCTGAATTGTTGGATAGCAGTTTTGGTGTTACATTGAAAAGGATACCCATTGGACTTATTATTTATTTGTTTGCTTTAGCAAGAAAAGCATTTTCTATTTTATGCATTTCTTAAGAATGCATGAAAACAATTCTGTATTAGACATCTGCTCTGGTGTCCGGGTCAGGTGAGTTCAGGTTCAAGTGTGGTCCCAGCCACAGAACCTAGCCAGGAAAGCTAACTACCAAAGATGGCACCTCCTCTGGCTATTCACTAAAATAGCATATAGGATTTTTATATGCTATTTCTTGAAAATGTTTTTGATAGTACTGTTACAAAAAGGCATTAAACTGTTAGAACTGCTCTTTTTCTTTCCTTCCTGTTTGTCTGTGATTACACCTTTCCCTGTTCATTGAATATGATTAAGTAGAAACATGTCACCTTGACATCTTGGCAAAATCCCTGAGTATGATTACCTTGTAAGGCATTGACAGAAATAGTAAGGTAGATAGCCTTATTACTTTATATTAGAGGCAGTGATTTTCCTTAGTAAACTTTGTGGATCTCTTGGGGTTAGTTACATAGAGCTAAATAAAGAGATTTAACTTATATTTGTGTTTGAGATTATCATTATACATTTAGCTCTTAACAGTATAAATGCTTGGCTGTGCTAAGAGGTCCCTAAACTAATCTTCTGAAAATGCTTGAGTGACATAATAACTATAGTCGTAGTGTGTGTGTTTCTCCCTTCTTGAGACATTTCAAAAACAATGTCTTGTGGGCTGATGAAATATTTTAGTGACCTTGTCAGGGATGCATCAAGAATGCATGGATTATAGGAAGGAGATGTGTATAATGTGCATTTTTTTGCCCAAATTTTTGAGGGAAAAATAAGGTTGCTTATTATATATGGGTATAATAATCCCATGTATAATGTGCACAAAAACGTGTGCATTATATACTGCGACATACAGTGTCATTTTATTAATCTTGCTATTTTAATTTGCAAGATAAATATTTATGTAGGGAAGCTAAAGAGAGAATATAACAATTTACAAGATCTGATCACTGCCTTTCTAGAGTTTACAATATTGTGAAGGGTGTAAGAGATGTGTATGACTTCAATGCCAATCTGTAATAAGCGTTATTTTTATAGTACAAATCAAGCAGTATACAAATTCAGAAGAGAGGAATTCTGTGTGATCAAGAAAGTTTATTTTATGGAAAGTGTCCCCATTGTACTAGACCTTGAATGATAACATTTCCATATGCTAAAAGGAGGACCTGAGTCAGCTGGGAAATAGAATGGAGTACCTGTTCCTGTAGAAAAGTGGCCTATAAAGACAGAATAGGATCAAATTGATCATGTCCTTCATTATAAAGTCAAAGCAATACTGTAGTAAGGCAGTCTGATGATAAAATCAGGTTTAATTAGAAGAAAGCAGAATGCATGAGGAGTTGAAGGAATATTGCTTTATGTAAGAGACCACTGAGAGATAATAAGTACTTATATAGTACTATAAAAAATAAGTACTTATACTATAAGACATATCCTAATAAAGAGATATTAGTGATTTATGTAATCCAGACTTTATCAAATGATTGGATAGTAACCATTGTTGTAGAGAAGTCAGATACTTCCAAAGTTTTATCAGGGCGACTGTAAGAATGGTGATACCTTTATAGGTGCAGAAGAGGGACATGAATCAAAGCAGAAGGAGACTTCTTATACTGAGGATGTAAAGAATGTGCACAGAGCCTGTCACACTCACCTACAATAAGAAGGTGGATGATCTACAAAATCAATTTCTCTGAGTCTTAGAGAGCTGATCTTGCAAAGCAACAAAGTAATTTAAATTCCAAGGAATTGGACATCCCATTTCCCCTAAAGAATAGGCCATGAATTGTTTCACCTTTGGCAGGGCAGGAGAGAAAGAGATGGCTGCCATGAAAGTAGATAAGAAGAAATCAGCTAAAATTTTAACTGATTGTTAAAGGCTAAGCATGGACTAATTTGGAGTATCTATGGGCTCCTGATAAAAGGTGCATTCACACTTGATTGCAAATACATTTCATTGGGGCTCCACAGGATACTTACTGTTGAGGTTGGGTGCAAGGCTGCGACCCGAGACAAGTCATGCTGGTGGTGTAGAGAGGAAGGAGGTATCTGTGGCTGCTCAGAAATAGACGCAAAGCCCCTCTCATTAAAGCAGAGTCCTTTAAGCTTCAAACCAATAGGGCAGAAAACCTTATTTTGTACATTTCTAGAGGGAGATTAGAATAAAACGCTTCTGCTTGTGGAGGGAGGAACCCTTTGGTCCCCAGGACCCAGCCAAATAACACATTGCTGCTGTGGTAAAGGTAGCAGGAAAGACCCTTCACCTCTGAAAGAGGTGCAGAAACCTGTTTCGGGCCCCAGTATCCTACACCAGTTTCTAAAGAGAGGTCTTTTACTACTGGAGGAAGAGTACGGAAGTACCACTCGACACCAACACAAATACAAAATTGATTTGGCTGCCATAGGAAGGAGAGCTGCAGGGCCTACCCAGTACTGACACCAGTCCATTTCAACGGAAAATCCCACCTGCCTCAACCATGAGTGACCACCAGGTGACAGAGGCTTTCTGCTGCTGATGGGAAGGTCAAGAATGAATGGAGGGAAATCCCTGTGTGGTAGTGGAATGCAGGAATGGTTGAAAGCTGAGAGGAAAATTGAGAAAAACCCTCCAGCTCATCCCTCACATTAAGCACCCAACAGTAGTAATCTACTAGTAGAAGAATTGGATGCCTGTGGTGTGCTGTAGGTAGCTATGACAACAATAAAATCTATACCAAGCTCAGTTCCTGTCTAAATTGACTAAACTCCACATGTGACAGAAGAATAGACATACCAGTTTCCAAGTGTAAATAATAATTAAGCATATACCATGTTCATGAATTGGAAGAATTAATATCATTAAAATGTCCATACTGCCCAAAGCAATCTATAGATTCAGTGCAATCCCTATTAAAATACCAATTTTTCACACATTTCACAGATTCAGAAGAAATACTTCAAAAATTTATATGGAACCAAAAACGACCCCAAATAGCCACAGCAGTCTTGAGAAAGAAGAACAAAGTAAGAGCGGTCACAGTGCCTGACATTAAATTACACTGTAAGACCACTGTAATCAAAACAGTCTGGTACTGGCATAAGAACAGACACATAGATCAGTGGAACAAAAGAGAGAGCCCAGAGATAAACCCATGTCTCTTTGGCCAATCAGGATTTGAAGAAGGGGGCAGGAGCATAAAATGGAGTAAAAATAGTCTCTTCAACAAATGATGCTGGGAGATTTGGAATAGTACATGCAAAAAAATGGAACTAGTCCACCAGCTTACACCATACACCAGAATAAACTCAAAATGGATAAAAGACTTTAACATAAGCCATGACACCGTGAAAGTGCTAGAGGAAAAGAGGCAGTAAAACTTCAGATATCCCACACAGCAATATTTTCGCTGATATGTCCTCTAGGCCTCAGGGGTGTCCAACCTTTTGGCATCTCTGGGCCACACCGGAAGACCAAGAGTTGTCTTTGGCCACACATTAAACATACAAACACTAATGAAAACTGATGAGCAAAAAAAAAGTTTTAAGTAAACTTAAAATTTTGTGTTGGGCCTCATTCATAGCCATCCTGGGCAACATATGGCCCGCAGGCCGCAGATTGGACAACTCTGCAGGCAAGGGAAATAACGGAAAGAATAAACAAATGTGA